AGAAATATAGTATGTTCTCTTGGGTTAGAATCCTAATCCAACCATGCACCATGGTCCTCCAAACAGGGGAGAAGGTGCGGTGGGAGTTGATTTGCGTACAAAGTCATTACGTAAGCAAGTAAGGGTACAGAATAGCTTTTAATATTGTATAAAGCAGGAATAAATCATTATTTTTTCAAACTTTTTTTGTTAATAACTTTTTAACGAAGGACGATCGCGGGTTAAAATCTTTTGAATTGGATTTAATGTACGAATTTGATTGGGAGGAGATAAAGATTTTGGATGAAGAGAGTATTTTACAATGACAGCTTATATCCGAAATGATCTATATAAAACCGCAAAAAAATGGTTTAAATTAAAAAAATGATACTGATTTGTTAGATTCTACATACTTAGATATATTATTTAATGTGAGATTTTCTTCCTCTCCACAACAATTATTTCGCACGAAAAACATCGATTGTTTATGATATCCTAACACGAGATCCGCATGTCGAACGAACAACAATAGTCTAACATAGCTTAACATATAAGTTTATTAAAATATAACCTATATTTTACTTACTTATATATGTAATTAATTTATTATTTAATCTGTCAATTTTATGGGGGGGGGGGGTTTATGTTAGACGAAAGAACGCATTACGGCTTGACGCATTGAATCTGTAAGAACTATATAATATGAAATAGCGACTTAATTATAAAATTATTTAGTTTTAATTCTTAATTTTTGACATTTGCGACGAAAGTGCGTTAATTTAAGTAGCATTGAAAATGATCCTAAACAAAGAATCGAAATGTTTACGTAATTAATATTTTATATATACTTGAATAAATACATACACACCAACAGCATGTGTCGGCTCTTATTGGCATGATTACTTGTGATGATTTTATTCGCTAGAGATTATTTCGCCTAGATCTCATATTATATATAATTATATGTAACCGTTTATATATATGTATGCAAAATTTCTTATAAGAAACCAGGTCGATTTAAATGAAAATGACAGATCTTGCTTAGTTTCTGCTAGTAATTTGCTATCAGAGTCTGTCAATAGGTTCTGTTTGATTTCTGCTGCCAATCTGTTTGCATAGAATGTTAACAGGTTCTATCGGCAGAACAGGAGCAGAATGCGAAGTCAGTCTGCTAACATCTGATCAAATCTGCTGCTAATCTGTCGACATCTTGCTAACATTTTGTTATCTGGATTAAAGTAAAAAAAAATGGAAATTCTTTCCATCGAGCATATAGAAATTCAGCTTAGAAGCATCTTTGATGTAATGTAAAGCATAGGAACGAGAACGCTAAATAGATTATATTGCCATAAATCTGGTTTTTAATCGTGTAAATATCAAAAAATGATATATTTTTGTAGAGTGATATTGACAATTAAATGTCCCATTCAAAAATAAGTCTTTTGATTTTTTTCTTTTTCTCCCTTTCTCCTTCCTTTCAGTTCTGACTAGTAGTCACAAATGTTATAGCATTTTTCATAAACAGAGCTAGTGCATACTCGGTGCATTTTAAAGCCATTGTACACAAATCGACGTAAAGATGTACGTTTAATAAAAATATAGAAACGAATAAATCATAAAATCCTCAATACATTTTATTGTGGTATTTGATAAATTATACATTGAGTATTTTATTAATTGAGATATCTCACTTTTACATTCAGATTAAGATAGTGTACAACAGCTTTAATGCGCATCAGTTCTGCCAGTGAAAAACGCTATTAGATTCTTTTTGATGTGTGCATATATTAGATATGTTACATATATAATAAAAAACTAATACCATCAAATTATGTTGTGATGATCATACTCAGATGTTAAAGAGAGTTCTTAGTAAACAATATTGTACTAATTATACACTAGTTGCTTTCCATTTACACACAAGTAAAACAGTCTGAAGTAATCTGAGTACGAAATATTCAGATTAATGATGTCATTACTTGCTTACTTTGGTAAAAAGTAATCACATAACAACGTAGATTCATAACCTCACTTTTAAAGTTCATGAAACTCACTAAAGCCCTAAACACAATGAGAGACAGCAGATTGTGTTCAGAAATTACGCCTAGATAACTAAAAAGTGTGCATTTTTGCTATAATATACGTGACGTAATCTATAGCTTAAAGTTATCTAGGCATAATTTCTGAACGCAGCCAGCGATAACGATAGAAATAACGATAGTGATAGCAATAGCGATAGAAATAGAGAAATTCAACTAGAGATGGACAATTCGCACTCGATTATTTTGACATCAATTATTTTTCTGAAAAAAGTCGAATATCGATATGTTTTTCCAATTTGATTATTCCCTAAATAATAATTTTCTTACTTCGACGTAACTAGAATCGTTAAGCCGGAAACACAATAAAAAGCACAGACAATAGGAACAGGAAATTACGAATTTTAACCTATCAGAAACCATGATTGCGTTCAGCAGAAAACAATTTTGCAACCGTTTTATGAATGTCTGTCATGAAATAAGAGAGGAGAAGACCGATCATAATTGAGCGCGAATACAAAAAAGTGACTCTCAATTGTGTCCCGAATCGAGAAGCAATTCGCTGAGAGAAATAGTTTGCGAATTAGAACGCCATTTGCAATATTAACTTATCTGCGTTCAGCACTTAAGGGGAGAAATACATGTAAATGCTCGAAAATCAGTCATTTTTCGTGAATTATTTTGAGGGTGATAAAATAATTAAATCATTTTGCACTTTTGGCATAATTTAATGACGTGTGTCAGGTAATTAAAAAAATTTTTTTTTGATACAAAATGGCGGCGGTACAGTCCCTCCACGAAGGCCGTTTTTGTGAAAGACGTAAAACGGCTGCCATCGCCCAGCTTTTTCTATTGGTCTGAAATAAAAAAACAAAACATATTTCGATTACTGATGAGTTTAGGCATAGAGTAAACCTATAAAATTGAGAAAAAGTACGAAATCAAAAATTTGGTACGCTCGATTCGAGCGTCAAACTGATCACGTGATCAAAATTGACGAATACTAAGCATCAATTTTGATCACGTGACTTGTTTTGACGTTGAAAATGAACGTCAAGCGTCAGCATGAAAAAGCAGCCTAAAATTTTAATATTATCCCAATCAAAGTTATGTTCATGTTGCAATCTATGTTCCGTTATTACTGATCGAGTAGATTCGTGTTCCACTGAATATGATTTTTGTGTTCATTAATTCTTGTCTTCAATTTTCTCAATCTGTCCCACATATGTTGCATCACACTCAACACAATCGATCTTATAGACAACATTATTTTTTGAAAAATGATGTAGATCTTTATGTTCTTTAATATATTTTTTTAGTTTATTCGAACTATAGAAAGAAACCGTCATCTCTATTAAATTTTTTAAATTTATCAGTAAAAAATGGAATAAAAGGAACTGTGAACCACAATGTATACATTGATTCGTTTTTCTCCTCTAAATTATTATGCGATACTGTCTTCCGTCTTAGAATGCATTTGACTCTGTTATTTCTGTTGTTTCGAAAATGAATTTGAGAGAGTAATTATTTAGTAATAATATTTCTATTATCATTAAATTTTTAGTATGATGTTCTGAATTCGAGAAAGAGCTCTATCTACTAGACTAATGATTACTCCTCTTTTTTGCGAGAGAGAACGATTTGAAAAAAAAATTAGAAATCTCCTCGAAAAGATCGGTTTGTGGTACCAATCGAAATTTAGTTGATTACCAATAATCGTGATTGAAACATCTAAAAAGTTAATAAGTCATGATCTATTTCTAAATTGAAGACGAGTATGAAAAGAATTAAAGCACTCTAAAAATTGATCTATTTTAGAAGAAGGAGCATACAAAGGAGCATACAGCAGCATACAAATCGTCACAATATATCGATAATAGAATCCCACACAACACGAATGACTATTTGTCGACTTTTTTTAGTCGACATATAGTCGACCATAAGTTGACTATTTGCTGACTATTAGTCAAGTACATTTTAGTCGACTTAAAGTCGACTATGTTTTAGTCGATTTTAAATCGGCTTAAATCGATTTAAAGATGACAAAAGTTTTATTCTTCACGCACGCACGCACTCACCTCGCACACACGTACACACACGTACGCACGTACGCACACGAAATATTTTATTATTAAAGTTAAAAAGATTTAAAAAACCAAGAAATTAATGAACAATTCAATATTATGAAAAATTATATTTTAATATTAAATAATTATTATATTGTACGCGTTTTGAACTTACAGATTTTTTATAATTTTGAGCTATATGCATATATATAATCGTTTGCGAAATAATAATAAAAAAAAATTCATTAATTATACTTTGTTCATTACGATATAATAAAAAAATGTATTTTATATATATATATATACATATATATACATAATTATGCATGAAAAAAGAGAAAAATATAACTTTAATATTATTATTATATATACGATATATAGACGGTGTTTGTAATGATAAATCTTTCGTACAGGGGCAGAATAAACTAAATTGAGAAGAAATGTTCTCTCCTATTTTACAAACCTCTCCTATTTTCTCAATAGAAGATATTAATTATTAAAAATTCTTGAAAATTAATCTTCAATAATGTTTTACTCACTGTCAACTTTACAGAAAAACTGCAAGAGACAAGAATTGTTTATTTTCTTCTCATAGAGCTTCAAGAATTTTTTCAGAATTTTTTATTAACTTTTCAGTATTGCATTTTCTTATTTTTATCAACATGAGAAAATACTTTATATATAAAATAATTCTTAAATCATCTAAGATCGAAATTTTTATTATGACCAAAAAATGACATAAATTCGGTCATTATTTTGATTTTCTTGTTCTCCGTAGGAAAAGTATAAATTACAAAAAAAAGTATATGTTGCAAAAATCATAGGTATTTCTTTAGATAATTCAATTGACAATAAGAACTAAATTTCGAACCATTTGGATTAATTTTGTGGTAGTTTTAATGTCCATCGTTTTTGATAACATCATTCTAAGAAAAACGCGATTAAAGTTTCAATAATTTCAATCTCTTTTCGTCGTATTTTAAGCATATATGTAAACACACTGATTTCTAATCGAAACTAATATAATCTATATTAAAATTGTGTGTCAATGTCATCTACAGTATAGATATGTAACTATAACGTTAAATAATTACTGAACTATTCAGGTAAACGGAACAGTTTAACGGCGACCAATTGGAGACACCAATTGCTGTACATCGCTCGATAATCAATTGTATATTCATTAATATGGAGAATTTCGGATAAAAAATAAATACAAAAATTTTGGTTTTTTTGAAAATTTCAAGGTGGAATAACGGTCATGTACCTTTGTCTTTATAATTACGAATTGCTTTGGCTCATCTTCTGCGGATTCTATCACGGATATCTATCAAAATGTTTCGTTCATCATAATGTTCGCTTTTTCGGTAGAATTGAGAGAGAGAGAAGAGAAAAGAGAGAAGAGAAGAGGAGAGAGAGAGGGGGAGAGAGAGGGAGAGGGGGGAGAGGGAGAGAGAGAGGAGGGAGAGGGGGGAGAGAGAGAGGAGGGGGGGACTCAGCTGTCTCAGATCGTGGACTACGTCATCACGCCCCTGCAAGACCTTTCAAGAGTGCCGATAGTTTAAACCGTGGCACTGCCGGCGGCGTCGCGACGCCTGCGCACCGTCGTACCAACGACGTTCGGTGCACGGAGAACAACGATGGCCCAGGGGCGGCAGTGCGGGTTCAGGGGGCGGTGAGGGTGGATGCCTCCTCCGTTGGAACTATCCCTTGACAACAGCGCGACCATTCTTTCTCTCGATAACGGTAAGGTTCCGCTTCGCAGTCTCCAGAATCGCGCGCGATCAATCGGACAGTGGTGCGAATCAATCAACGATCCCGGGTACGAGACGCAGCGTTCGTCCTCTCTGCGAAAAGACGGATCCTGACGGCGTGCTCGGACGTAAACGACAGGCTGCCACTCGTTCAGGTAAATCGATTAAACGCGCGTATACGCACGCGAATTGTAAGACACATGACCGGCAAAATCGGTCCAAGACGTTGGGTGATGTGATGCAAAATATAAGGGACTTCTGCAATATACATTTGGATTGGACCCTTCTTAAGCGGGGGGGGGGGGTAAAGGGGAAGACTGGGAATTGCATAACACTCACAACCGGCTTTGGATTGGACCGGCACGGCCGGCATATCGTTTGCAATCTTATGACGTACCGCCGGTATATATCGAGATGCACTCGCGCTTCATCTTGTAATCTGCGAATTTTCTGTAAAAGGATCGGTAATTTTTTTACATTATCGGTGCGTGTTACTGACGCCGTTACAAGGATGTTTTTTCGTCTTTCGATAATACTTGATATAGTTTAACCAACAGCAATTATTATTAAGAACGCTCAGCACACCTTCCTCTTGTTTTAATATTCAATGAATAAAATAAAATATAATTTAAATAAAAAAAAATTTGAAATGGTAATTTTGTATGTTGAGTGTAGCATTCGACGCAATTTTGTATCAACAGTACGATCAAAATGTGTCAATTAACGATATAAATGTAAAGATAGTGAGAATAAAATCAGGAGATGTCGCTACGATAGTTTTTACACGTTGTCCGTAAATAATTATGTAAACTTTAACCAATTTATTATATTTCATTAATGAATGAGAATTTATTTATTTTTTTACATTGTGTCAATTATTCGAGTTTCCTTGCAGATAAAAAATAATAAATTATAAAAGTACTAAACTATATGTAACAATTATCGATTGAGATATCCGCATCATTCATATCTCAAGCGATTTTTGTAATGTTTCGAAATCAATTTGCGCGCGCTATTATAAAATGAGTTTTATTTCAATGTTATTCATATTGGCTTTTTATTCTTCGAAAAGTGATAATCTAACGATCTTTCTTTTTTTTGTACTTGCTTATATAAATGACAATTGGACATTCCACTGAGTTTGCATAACGCAAACATGCCATACTTGTGAATCAATTACGCCATTAGTTCACGA